TAAAGTTCAGCATAGGGAATATAGTCGACAATATTGTAATAACTACATATGGTGCCAGGTGGGTACTGGAAATATCAGGGAAACACTTGTAAAGTATATGATTGTCTAACTGCTGTGCTGTATAACTGACATCAATACAAAATAATGTTGAATTCAAACTGTACTTAAAAATGAAATTTAAAAAATTGAATAAAAAGAATAGCATTTGCAAGTTGACTTTTAAAAATGAGCCTGGTGAGGACACTAGCACCAGAGTTACAGATTTCCAGCGCATTTTAAGCATTTGTCACCTAGAAACAAACAAGATCGCCAAACAGCAACTGAGATCTCTTCATTTTGAAAACGCTTTAATAAGTGTCGACAACACTGTTTTGCAAAATGTAAAGGTACTATACAAATTCTTAATACAAAAAGAATAAATTAAAAGCAGATTTCTTTTTAATTCTGCAATTTTGTCTACAACATACATCTTTTTCATTGATTACAGTTGAACAGAATCCAGTAAAATCATTTTACATGCTCTACAGTCAGTTTCAGGAGCAACTTAATCCTTCTCTCCCCCATTATTAAACTAGAGTCCATTTTACACAACTTGTAATAAACTATTGACATTGTGTATGAAAAACTTTACACCTAGTTAACTAAGCAGTAACTGGTCATCGGATAGCACCTGGATGGGGTTTGCTATATTTAGAACTAAACTAATACTGAATGAAAACAAATTGGAATTTTAACTTCTTCAACACTCACCTCCGCATAATAAAATAAAAAATTCACCTGATTAGCAACAATCTGATATAGGCGTTTTCGCCAGTCTTTTGGCTAAACAGGTAGTTTCTTACACGTGTCCACAGAATCCAATGGGGCTTTATATCAGACCAGGCTTTATGGTTCATCTTTTGTTTTAAAGAAATAGGGATTTATAAAGAGCTTGCAAGTGCTTGTGTACAATTACTCTATTGTTGCCCACTACATTGATCATTCCTTAATCATGTCAGTCTCAAAGGACTAATACTTTATGTACACTTCGTAGTAACTGAACGCAGCTAAACAGTAAAACCTGTTTTACTTATTTTCTGTCTTTACTACCAGACTATTGTGATGTTGGTCTGAATTATAATCCCTCTCCTGCTCCATTTCTTTTTGCCCCCAGAATCCAGAACCCAGGTGTTGGAAAGAATTTTCATCTCTCATTCTTAAAGCTTGACCCGATTGACTTCAGACTTGATGCTCCATTACTGTATATGTTGTAGAACCTTGTCATCTTTTCTATTTCCCTTTTGACTGACTGCTCATGTTGTAAATAGTCCAGTTTAGTTATCCACATATCAGTTTTGGGAGAAAGAAAAAAAAAATGGCCCAATATATAATGTTTCCAAGTGGGGAGGGAAAAAAATCTGCTATTTGTAGCTTTGATCATCAGAATAAGGGCAATAAAAATATACCCTCCCACCCCCAATCAATCCCCAGAATCATTTTAACATTATAACCAGTTTTATGTATTCTGCAGGGTTTACCCCTAAAGTGTTCTGTGAATAGTAATCCCTTCCGCAAGTTGCTATCACCAGCCCAGCTGTGCACAGGGCCTCAGGGACCAGGCCCTGAATCATCCAGCCGGCTGTGAATCCACAGGCTTTGTCCGCTGCAGCAGAGGGTGCACCACGTTAGTTATTTTGTTTAATGTCCATCCATACCCTCCTGGTCTGGTGGAGTCTATTGTTATCCTTGGATTACATATACATAAAGAACAAAGGTTTTTCTTTTTATGCTAAAGCTAACTTCAGTCCTGCTCTCCCACAAAACTACCCCCACCCTGGCTCCTGTCTCTGGCTGCCCAATGCCTTTCTGGTAAGTCATTACAAGGGAGGTAAAAATATCCCCCCACCCTCCACTTGTGCCAATAAGCACAGTATACCGCCTCTGTGGAGACCGTGTTTGTGCCATTTTGAATATCCAACTAAGAGTGTGCACTTGTTATTATTATAAAAGTCGTTTTGAGGCCTGTGAAGATTGATGGCTTTCCAGTTGTGTTTTAAGCATAGCTCAAAGCACATGTAAACGTGCAGTTCCCACACCGTTTTTTGCTCTTCTTTCTTCTTTTGGTGCCTGCAGACAAGTGTGGTACATCAGGTGGCTGACACTGTTGTAGGCATCTGGGCCCCCTGAGAACTGGTATTTTTTTCAACCCTGCTCTGCCTTAGTAGACACATGAGTAAAATCTTTCTACCTAAGAGCATAGTTGGGTTTTTGAATAAGTGACACATTGGTAACTGAAGTTGGATCTGAGCTCTTTGTCACACAAGTGCTAACAAACATAAAATGAGCCACAACAGTTAAACACTTGAATGAATTGCAATGTGCTTTTTTCCCTTGGTTTCTTGTAAAAAATATAATGAAACACCTTGTACAAAAAACAAAACAAAACAAAATAAAAAAACAGGATTGTTTACAGGTTGTTTTAATGAGAGAGAACCACTTTTGGCTTTATCACCTTATGTCTCCTACAAATCCCAAAGGAAAGCAGCTGTGTCCTGGGCTTGGGCACTGGCCAGGGCTGATAGCACACTCCGCTGCTCCCCACAGGTCAGTCCTCAGCATCCAGACTCACGGAGATCCGACTTTCGCGACACATCACTGAGTTTTCCTGGCTCTCCCAAGAGAGAAGGTGGACGTTAGGCAGAGGCAATAAAGAGGGGAAACAGTTTACAAATGGTTGACTTGGACTTGGGTGTTGTAGCAGTTTAGAATTTGAAAGAGATTTTGTTACACAAAGAATGTCTTCCTCTTGGCCCCTCTCATTTTTTGTGTTTTAATTTTTTAAATCTTTGGCAGCATAGAACTGATTGTGATCCTCTGATGCATCTCTGATGTGATGAGCATCCTGTTTCATTCCTCCCCACTCCCCCAAGAGCCACTGCCCAAGGAATGTTTCAGGTGTCAAGAGCCTTCCCACCAGGCGGCCTGTTCCTGAAGTGCCTGGTTGGCATGTCCAGGCAGCAGGCTGGCCACAGCTTAACAGACTTTCTGGGCCACCCGCAGTAGTCTCCTTCCCTGCCCTCTGTAACACGTGTCCACAGGAATTTGAGGGCAGCCAGCTTTCCTGATGGTTCCTGGTTTGGGGGCTGTCATGGCAGGGGGAAGCCACCAAGGTACCATTAAGGACAGGTGCCTGGCTCTCTGTGGGCGAGAGAGCCAGGGGACACACAGTGGGACCGGAACCTTCCATAATGTCTCCTCAGTCAGGTTTTTGAGTTGTGAGGGGATGTGGAGACAGGAGGAAAAAGTGCTGAGGGCTGAAGCTGGTGTAGGGTGACAGTGCGTCTGGGTAAGGCAAATGAGAGGCAGTGAGGTGATCTCAGAATGGCGTTGAGGCGGTCAGATTGAGGCCGGCTGGCTCACACGAGGGTCCCCGGCTTGGCTTTCTCCTGGCCGTACCACTGGACGTCAGCGAGCTCTGGATACAGGGGGGAGTCCAGGAAACAGCTGTCACTGTAGCTCCTGCAGGGAATCCAAGGAGAGCAGATGGTGAGTGGGGAGTGGCGTTTACTGGCCTGCCTTCACAAGTGTGTGCTGATTTTGTAGGCTTTCATACTGAGCAGTAGCCTTCCCTGTCCACAAGGAGCTAGGCCTGAGTAGATATAAAGGGGACCTAACCTATGACATCTGTGAAGGAGGATAGTGGAGCTAATGCTTACTTATACAGTTGGTCTGCTTGCTGGAGTCACCAGGGAAATCTCAAAAACCTCAGGTCTGGGCTCCACCCGAGAGGTGCTGGTTTATTTGGTCTGCGGTGCACTGGGTATGCTGGGCACAAGTGCTTTCAGAGACCTGCTTTCAGAGACTTCCCGTGGTCCCCCTGTGCACACCGGATAGCCCCTGGGGCTGGGTTTCTCAGGTTTCCTTTCCCACAGAACAGCTGCTTTGAGTAGCCCTCCCTGGGCCCTAGGGCTAACCAGATTTTATTGTCCTAGAACTTTTAAAATGTTAGATTACCCCATAGTGAAACTGGAATCATACTTTAAACTGAGCTTTTAAAAATGCTGAACCAATGCTTACTATTTCAAATTACGTGTTTTGTGATTATAAAAAAAGGTATGTTGAAAATATATAAGAAAGTATATAGAAAACAAGAGACTTCTAAAAAGACTTTCAGGTAGGCAGCACTATGTAGGTGGAGTAGAAGGAATTTTTACACATCAAGAGGCGATCACAGAGCTATATATGTTGAAGCTGATAATCATCACTAGGGATCATGTTCAAGAAAAAGAGCCCCTCTCTAGTGACCCTAAACTAACTCTTTCAGGGTAAGGTAAAGGTCAGACATTATCTTGGTGAAGGTGGGAATGAGCTGGAGTTTGCCCGTAGGTCCTGCCTTCATGGCCGCAGTCACAGATGTTGACGTGGCTAACTTGGTGCTCTGCCCTACAGCTGTGCTGTGGCCTGGAGTGTCTTGTTTACCCTCTCTTGTGCCTTTTGCTTTTACTCCTCATGGGATTACATTTGTGCCGATTCCTGAAGGGATGAAACCTCTAGGCCTGTGACCACAGCCTTCAGTTTTGGAAAGAATGTCCCTGTGAAGGACATTGGGCTGTGACTATGAGTTAGTAGGTCTGTGTCTTGGTAAGGCTGGATTTTCAAGTTTGACCTCCCAAGAGCATATGCCAGCGAGGGAGTAGGAATATCTATTTGATAACACTATCGGACTTTCCATAAATGTCAGAAGATTCTCTCCTCTGCTGATGATCTCCTGGTACCTAGTGCTAGGGTTATGCTTGGGATGGGTGACAGGAAGAGCCCCCAATCCAATGTAGTTCAAAGAAGAGCAAGTTTAAAGAGCATCTTAAACATGGCCTCAAGAACCAGTTTATGATTGAGAATGATCAGTCAACACCACTTTTCTGTTTGATTTCTGTAGGAACACATGGATGAAGACATTCTGGATTTTATAAATGTTTCTCATCTGGCTTAAAAAAAAACAAAACAAAAACAAAACAAAAAAAAAAAACACCAGGAAAGCTGGAAATCCCAAGGCATCTATAAGCATACTGTGTGCATACCATCTTAATGAGAGTCTTGTGCCAGGAATCCCAGTTAATGCTGTTTAAATGTGGCTTCAGAAGCAAAGTAACAAAGTCTCTTAATTAGTTAGGTCCTAGCCATGGATATCTTAACTAAAGAAATGGAGCATCTGCATGGTCCATGCCTGACTCCATTACATCCTCTCTGCAAAATTCCTCTTTGCCCTGAGAAAGCAGATGTGTGCCACTGTGCGTGTGAATTGAGAAACTTTTTTTGTGGCAAAAGGTGGTTGGACCCCATAGTGGACATTGGCTGTTTTGGAGGAGTGAGTGTGGATGCTGGCGCCCTGGTGGAGTCCCTCTGTGCCTTTATGTGCTCGCCACCAGGTGTCACCCCATACCCTCACCTAGGGTGGATAAATGACTCAGGTGGCCCAATTAAGAATCCTCCAGTCATAGTCACTGGTTCACAGTTTGAAAGCTGCAAGGCCAAGCAGCTTTCACACCATGAAGATGTCAGTTTCCTCCTAAGAATACAGTTTCAGGAGCAGGAAGTGGATAGGGAGATGGAAAGAGAACTAGCAAGTCCTGGCTCCACCTTTGCCCCGAGTAATGAGGCATACCTCACTAGTTTATCAAAGAAGAGTTGGATCCAAGCCATGTTTCTGGAAGTTGTAATAGATTAAGGTTACATGCTCAGATGGCTAAAACTTTTCATTAATATTTGTGGAGAAGACACTTAAGATTATTTATTTGCCTAAGTTCCAAATAGCCTTCCCCATCTTTTTTTTTTTCTTTCTTTTTTTCCTTCTGATAAGAATTACTTCCCCTAAGTTTGCCTTTAAAAGAAACAGCCCAGATGAGAACTCCTAGAGAAGACCAGGTAGAACATTTATATCTCATAGGCACTGGAAAAAACTGTTTTCTGAATCCACATCTTTTACAGTAACTGCAAGCCTTTTGAGACGAATAGGGGAGTTTTGGGGATTGGTAAAAAGGATAGGTAAGCTCTGAATTGCTTTGAGTGCTGCATTTCTATTCTTGTAAAGACCAGATTTGGAAGACAAGTACAGCTTTTGATTCCTCAAGGAATGAAGTTGAGACTTAAATGAATAAAGCCAAAAAGATTTCAAAAATTTACTCAGTTGGATTTTGTTCTTTTAACAGTTTGATGGCAGTGCTAGAACCCAAAGGAGGTATCTTACAACTTCAAGGACGAGAAACACAGACTCCGGTCCCTGTGAATCTTTTGAGTTCTCTTTTCCCCCAGTTCCCAAGGGCCACAGGTAAGCTCCTCTGGATCCTGAGTTCAGCTCTCTTTGCATTGAGTTATCAATCTAATTGGCTTCCCAATACAAGCCTAATGGGTTAGTCTGGACTGATAAGAGGCTCTAACAGAGCACCAAGCACTAGCCCTTGGTTAGTCCACAGTTCACACTGGTTGAGGTCTGCTGGTTCAGGCCCAGTTTTACTTTGGGAGCTGCTTCTGGTGCACATCTAAGGCTTTCTCTTGGTCAGTCCGCAGTACCATCTTTTGGCTACTGTCGGTTTCTGTCAATGTGCCCATGAAGCAAGGGGTAATTGTTCTATGGTTAATGGGAACTTCAGAAGCCAAAGCTGCAAAACTAATGGGAACAAGTTGAGCACTTAAAGCTGTTAGAGGGCTTCCCAACTAACCCTAAGACTCATACCAGGATAAGGTGGTCATGACACAGGCTAGACTGACACTGGATCACCTGCCAACCTCAAGAACATGCTCAGGCATTGAGGTATTAATTTGGCTCTGAGAGACCAATGCTTAATTAAAGAAATGGAATCTTTAAGATTCTGCCAGAAATCTGACTTGTGGCCATCTGTTTTTGTTTTTGTTTTTTTCTATAAACTAGTGACTTTTGCGTTATCATACTTACTCAAGGCCAAAATTAAAAAATTAAAATTTCTGTTGTATATGTATGTATATATATTGCAAATGGGTAATGTTTTCTACTTCTGGGTAGCATTACCAAAATTAGTTTGTAAATGAGCTCTATTTAACTGGCTTGAAGAAAAATAAGCACTTATCAAATTAAGTATTCTAAATGCTCAGAAATATAGAAACTTAACCCAGATGTTTTTTCAAAGTTTATGTGATCTAAGATAAATATTTAGTAAATAAAAGCTAGTTTAAGTGTGCTGGTTCAATTAAAATAGGCATATATTCAGTTATCAGCTTGACTATAATGCAGAAATACAACTTATATCCTAGTCAAATAAGTTTGGTTATCTCTATTACACAATTTGTCAGCAAGGAAAATAACAAGATTTGGTTAACTGCTTAATATCTTGAGAAATTTTCTTGATTAATCTAAACACAACTGTTAAAACAAGTGAACAAATATGAGCTGGTCATGGTCTGTATGTTTCTCACTGGGTAGAAACGTTTTCTGTAGCAAAGAAATTACTTGAAAACACCATCCCTCCCTGGGGCGCCCCTACTGCTTTGCACAGTGACCTCAGAACTCATTTTCCTGGCCAGACAATCTAAGAACTCTATGGAGTCTCTTCTCTGCTCCTCAGAGACTGATTGTCCATATTGTCCTCAGTCTTCAAGACTAGCAGAAAGGCTGAATGTGGCATCATTAAAACCCAATTACAAAAATTTGCGAGCCTTGGGAATTCCCTGGACCAAGGTGCTGTCACTGTTCTAGAAAATCTAAGGGTCCTTCCTTAACTTTTGAAAAACATAAGTTTGCTCCCTGTGAAAGAATAACCTGCAGACCTGTACAGCTGCCTCATTCCCCATACTCTGATCATTGCCTTGCCCAATGGGATCTATTAAAATATTGCTAGCTCTTTGTTCTCTATTTCCAGAAACATCTCTCAAAAGTTAAAAAAAAAAAAAGCCTACAGTGAATACAGCCTGACCTCTGATTCTTCTCATGACCTACTTCCTACAGCAGCAGTTGCCAACCTTTTGGACCTCACGGATCACCAGTGGTCCATGGACCACCAGTTGGTGACCGCTCTCCTAGAGAATATGTCTACTGAAAAAGACATAAACATAAAGGACTCCCTCTTCCCTTGTTGGAAAGGCCTTTTCTGGTGCTGCTCACCAATTCCCATGCAGCTAAATGTGAAGGCATCCGTCCCTATTTAAGAGTCACAACACCTGAATGGACCAGCAAAGCCACTGATGATCTCAAACTCATGATCTCCATGCAGTCAGCAGCAGACAACACTGGATGTAGACAGCTATCCCAAACATGGGCCAGGCCAGCAGAACTTAAAGCTTACTTCCAACACTGTTTTCCTCTACAAAAGTCAGGAGGGGAAAAATTAGACTATTCTACTTTTCTGTTTTTTTTTTTTCTTCTTCTCCTATTTTCCCTTGATCTTGTCCATATATAAAATGCCCTTGCCTGTATCTGCCAGGTGATTGCCAAGCATGGTAACTTTCTAGGCTGCTGGATTTGCCACCTAAAACCTCATATCTCCCATGGTGGTAGAGATGCTGGTCATTCCTGTACCTGGTTTATTTTCTATCCTTAATGCCTAGTATTTCAAACTGATATCTAACACCTATATCCTGGACAAAATCTCTCTGCCTCGACCTCCTCTTTAATCCACTATGAGAAGTTACTCAGATGTGACCTTTTAGTTGCTATCAACCCTAAAAGCTTCTCTCACCCTGAGGAAGATATCCAGTCGTGGCATGGTTAGGAAAAATAAACAAAATGAATGAAGTTCATGCAGAAGAAACACCTAGCAATATACAAGTGATCAATACTCCCTAATAGGGACTTGATCAAAAAGTGGAAATGTAGACCCTAACTAAAATGGAGTCACTTATGTTATGGAAAAAATGGAGATGGTCAACACAGATTCATACAGGAAACTTAGTCTAATCTTAGAGGAATTTATAGCCCTTCTCAAATCAGAAGACACCAGCCTATCTCCAACCACAAATCTATTCATGCCCATGTCTGGTCTTCCTTATTCCCTGACTCAGCTACCCTGACCCAAATTTACAGTTTGGTTGTTAACATTTCTTGTTGTTCCAATGAGGCTACTGAAATCCATCTGCCATTTCCCTCTTCTATGGTATTAGACACTTGAGAATGAACCTTCTGTGCTCTGAGGGACATGTTCTCCATCTAACAATGTCTTTGACCAAGAAAAAAAATACAAGAGGAAGAAAGAAAGCAACAGCTAAATAATATGGTTGATCAGTGATACTTGCTGCAAAATACCTTGATCAAGAGGGGAAATGTGAAAGCATTTCTATCTAAAATGGAACTGGAGGATAGGAAATGGAGAATGTCACACATGTGCTTTCAGAAAAACAGAACTTAAAAGCTGAGAGACCAGTTACCAGTATAATGCTAGTATAACAAACAGTTCACAAGTCTTCTCTTCCAACAACTGAATATCCACCAAGAATCTCTAACCTGGAGCCAATAAGCTTATTGTTTAGACACTGGCTGGACTCTATCCCCTTTTCCCTTCTTCCCCATAATTACAGCCTGCCCCAAACCCTCAATGGACTCACCTGTAGCTGAATATATCAAGCATTTTCAGAATTGCAATTACTTTGCTATTCCTGAATAAACTCAATTTCTGATCATTTGAGCTTGTCTCACTTTGCCTCCATATATATATTGACAGCCATTATGGGCAGTGTTACAATTAGAGTTGAGCATTCATTTAAGATGTGTACTTGAAAGCCAGGGCTCCCAATTAAAACAGAATGGGATACCTGTTTTTACTGGCATGCTAAAACCTCCAAGAGGCTTCAAGATTCCAAAATAACTTCACTTAAAGATTCATTGCAAAAGGCTAATAAAAAATTAAGCACATAGTAGTACCTACAACTAAAGACTACAGGACTGATATGTTCCTACTGCTCCCTTCCATCCTCCTTTATCTGAGTACTCACAGTCTAATCCTCTCTCTGAACTGCCTTCCCACTGTAAAGAGACTATAAGACCTGAATAAAAGTCTGCCAAGTCTATGGCCTTACAGATTCCCCTATATAGGCCCCTCCCAAGGTTGATGAGACTCTTAGGAATTTTCCAATAAACTGCTACCAGTTATTCCCTTAAAACAGCTGAGGAGAAACTAAAATTAAATCAGTGAAAAACCTTGCCCAATTTCTGGTAGATACCATGGTTACACTCTCTCTTTAAACCCCACTTTCTCTGGAGCCTGCAGAGTGGATCCAGGGAAAACTGGCAGAAGCTTGTGAAGGGTGAGAAATCTTTTTAGAGTCGGCTTTCCCACGTCTCTGTATGTAATGCCAGGTCTATTAGTCAGCATGGTTTGTGCCACACTGAAACATTTACCGTGAGGGAGAATGTTCTTCTGGAAATTATGAAATGTAATGATAAGTTTTCCAATCCACAGAATGCTAGTATAACAAACAGTTCACAAGTGCTTACTTCTTAGTGTTCACTAGGAATTAAGGATTCTAAGGGTTGGAATTCTAATAAGTGCATCCTAGAAATTGTATGACATTCCTAGAAATCTGATATGTCCTGGTATTATCAGTCATAATTCCACTTATTATCTTAAGATGTTGTATATCACAGAAATAACCAAATCTCCCTGTCAATTCCATCACAATGAACTCTCGTCAGATCTTTAGTACCAGGAACTCTTGACCATTGGCACCGTGGGCAAATCAGGAGGTGCTGAATCATGGTTGCATACTTCACACCTGAAGGCGGCTCGATCTGACTTCTGGTCCTGTGCAAACGCCTGAGATCTCACAATCAAACTAACTAGGACAAAAGTAGCCAGCATCTGAGTAGACCACTTCCCCCAAGATGTCAGATCAAGAATGTTTCTTTCTATTCCTCCTTCCATCTCTGACCATTTTTTCCTGTTTCTTACACACGAGGGTCTTTATGACTCTTTTGTCTACCTTGTGTCTTGCTCAGACCTGGAAAGTTCATGTATCTCAGACCATTGCAAAGGTTGGTAATTTAGCCTCCCAACAACTGCTGGGTTTGCCATGATGCTGGTGATTCTATAGCTCTGTCCATCCCAAACTTCTCCCTGATTTTCAATGCATCAGTTTCTCTGGGGAAAACCTAGCCTTCTCTATCATGTCAGAGTCCCTAGCCCTGAGAATATATTTCTTTTTTTCTGGTTAACAACTCCAGACCCGGGGAGCTTTGCATTCAGGCTCTGTATCCAAAGAAAGGGACACAAGGCAAGGGTGTTCAGTACAAAAAGAATACCTTTACAGTCTACAGACCCTTAAATTTTACTGGCCTGCATGGTGACACCTTTTAAAGTCCTGACCCATAGACTATGCTATGACCAACACCACTTGCTGCACCTGGATTGATACGTTGTGGAAGTTGAGACAAGCCAGTTGGCTTAAAGTGACACCTTCAACAGGCCTTTCTTGACTTACTGGATTTTGATCAGTTTGGGTCTTGGGTCCAAACTGTACTCCAGACATTGGGAATTATCCTGTTTATAATAATTGTAGTAGTTCCCCCCTGGTGTGTTCTCTCAAAAGCTTTAATGCATATTCACAGCCACTAACTATCAGGCAAATTATCCCCCTAAGAACAGAATGTCAGAATAAAACAAAGAGAAGGACCACCTGAAAGCATGTGAACCTGACTTTGTGAACAGTGAATGCCAGAGAGAGATTGAGCAAAAAATGGAGAGATCTCCAGACAGGAAGCTAATGCCTTAAATTTTCATCACATCTCTCAACTAGGCTGAGTCCAATCAAAGGTGGAGGGGGGTGGGATTAATAAAAATAAGACAGTGGCCCCAAACTGAGTTGCTTACCACCAAACTGAGACTTAACTACAATCTGGGCTTTCCAGTAAGTGCAATCTTAAACCTGTCAATGGCCTGTTAGGACCAATGAGGTAACCTGCCTGACAGACCCCTCCCATCCCCAAAGGAAAGTGACTCTGCAATACCCAACCTGCTTTTTGCCTCATGAGGCTGACTTGTTCCTGCTGCCTTCTGCTTATGAAAATCTTTCATCTGGTACAGCTCCTCAGAGCTCCTTTCTTCTTTCCCCCCATCACCATCTATCCCCTCATATCCTCTTCCACCTCCACCCCCCATTACCACACTGTTGTCCCTCTCTGTCCATGAGTTTTCTTTTTCCCTCCCTCCCTCCCTCCCTTCCTTCCTTCCTTCCTGCCTGCCTGCCTTCCTTCCTTCCTTCCTTCCTTTCTCTCTCTCTTTCTCTCTTTCTTCTCTTTCTTCCCTCCCCTCTTCCTTCTTTTTTTTCTCAATCCCTTCACACACTCCCCCACTTCTCCCTCGCCAGAACTGCCTGCCTGCTGTCTATCTGAGTTTGTTTGTACTTTGCTTATTAGTTCATTTTGTTCATTAGATTCTACACAGCCCCTGACCTCTGCGCTGAATGCTGTCTGATTCATGAACAAGTAAATGAAGTCAGTAAGTCTTTTAAATTTACTCAAATTTTGTTTCACACCATCTTCCTCTTAAAGGCCAAGCACCTGTTTCCTAATTCCTTATGTGCCAACTCAGGGGACTCACAGTAAATCTGTTCTGTATCTCCTAATTTGCTCAGGATCTTGTCCTGCCCCACTCGTCAGGCTCAAGTCCAGCTCTTTTTCTATAGCAAACAAGACTCTTTGCTGTTTCCCAGACACCCTGCTTGTTTCTGTACCTGTGTTTTTGCCCTTGGAAAAGCTTCTAGGCCTCTGCCTAAAGTCTCAGATCACTTTATACATAACTGCTGAAAGTTTCTTACTCCCCTTGTACAGAAAATCCTGATAGGTTTTCAAATTGTTGATTTGAACTTGAACTCTTTGAACTCTGGTCTCTAGCATTGTTCCTAGAATATAGTGATGGTTCCATTTTTCTTTTAATTGAATAAACTTATCCACTTCGTAATAGTATTCTTATCTTTTTTGTTAACCCTTAAAATGCTACTTAATTTCAATGTCTCATCCCGTTAGGTTCTACTGGCCTGAGAACAGGACCCACACCAGGTGCTACTGTTTTGATGCCCACTGTAGCAGTAAATTTGATTCGCCCAAGGATCTTGTTAAAAATGCAGATTCAAATTTGTAGGTCCAGGAGTTTAGGTTTCTAACCAGCTCCAAGATGATGGTGATGCTGTTCTATGGACCACATTTGGGGAAAGCAGGGCACTACAGCATTTGTAGATTACACGCTGCCACTTAAGAATGCGGGGAGGATAACATGAGAGGAAGATTTTTCCAATGCTTCTGCTAACTAAGTCTGCCCTTTGTGCTTTGAAACTTAAATTGCATGATGCTGTTATTTCCATGGACAGGGGTTACTAAATCAGTAAAAGTGTCTACAAGTATCTGCACGTACATAGAGTCTGGGAAGGTCTAAAACACACTCTGGGGTCTTTTCTGGGAAGTCATGTAAGAACAACTAAATCTAATATAAAAATATACATATAAACATATAGTTCCACATGTATCTAGAAATCAACATAAAACAACGGCTTCCACACCATGCAGATGTTTCCTTCTGGGGATTATGATATGGGCAAGGGCAACACATATGCAACACATTTGAGATCACACACTCCAAAGCAGTGAAGGGGGAAGGGCTGTAAGAACAAAACATTCCCTTACGATACCTCTACTCATCAGTACTTTGGTGAGTTGGAGACTCAGACCCGTCCATAATGGGCGAGTGTTCTGTTGCTTCTCTGAACAAAGGAAAGCAGAGGAGGAAGAGAAGAGAGGTCATGTTAAAGAGAGGAACCGACACAGACATGATTTGTAGCTCATTGATACATTGGAAAGACTGATTGACTACACGTCCAGTGTTAGTGACAAATAAGTCACACAGAACTTTCAACCCCATGAGTGAGTCAAAAGACCTCTCTAGTTTTGGTAGGAAGGCAGGCGTTGGTACTTTTTACCCATTTCTCATTTTCTTGTCACATCACAGAAAATAGTTATTAATGATAATTCAACTCAATCTGATGGAAGAGTTTACTTCAAGAACCTTTTTGTTTACTTCAAATACCTTTTTGTTTCAAATTTGTCTTGAATTCTCACTAGCTCTGTGCGGTGAAACCCAGGCAGGGTTTCAGACCAGCTCACTGTGTATGCATCTGAGGGGTGCTTATAAATTCCAGAGGCTGCTGTCTTAAATAAATACATTTGGGTCAGGTAAAATTGGATATGATGGAGAAAATCTGGGGATCCAGAGAAAGAGCCTGGATCCTTATTTAGGTGAGATGATTTACCAGTGGAGGTACCTTAGATACAGAAGATCTGTCATTTTTTAAGTGAATTAATCTTGGAGAGACTCCAGGGCCCTAGGCCTAGCAGCTGCCAGACCACACAAGCTACAGCTGGAGTGTGGATGGTGACTAAGAGAGTGTTTTCATGATCTATAATAATGACAGAGGGGAAGTTGCTGCTCCAAAGACAGACCAAGAAGTAGGAGTGGCCACAAGAAATTTGAGTGGGAGGATTTGTTAAAACACAGACTTCAGACCAGCCCCAGACTTTTTGACTCAGTAGGCCATGGGTGGGCCTGAGAACCCGCACTTCTAACAAGATCCTAGGTGACGTTCATGCTGCTGGTCTGGGGACTGCACTTTAAGGACCACTGGCCTAATGGAAAGAGACAGGGCTTATGGCTCACAGAGCACAGGGCTGAAGTGTCAGCTCCAACCAACCATTGTGACTTTGGGCAAAGCACTTATTTTCTCTTAGCCTCATCTATAAAATAAAAAGATATGATACTTCCCGAGCAAGGTTTCAATGAGATTATATGAGCTCATATATGTTAGAAGAAGGTTCCAACCTTTGAGTATACAGCAAGCACTTAATAAACATTAGCTCTCCTACCTTCTGTTAAATACTAAGGACCCATAAAGCCTGGTTTTAAATTACTACAGATAAATTTGCAGAAACAAAAAAATGTCTGCCAAGCGTGAGAGTCAGAAATGTGGTCAGTGGAGCCGATTCTGGTCTTGTTGTTTTTTGATGATTCAACTCACAGACAGCTGTCATATTTTCCCAGATACCCCCCACCGATGCTCCAGGAAATGAGAAACTAATAGAGCTAGATAAGGGGACTCTTTACTGTTTTAACAAACAGATAGTAATAGTATAGAACATCCATTTAAAGGTGATGTTTTAGGAACAACAGAAGAGGCAGGAACTGTGAGCACAGCAAGCTACATGTTCCCCCTCAGACTCTGCAGCAGACCAGAACATCCTAAATATCCCTGAGATTATGATGTTTGTTTATGCTGAAAGCTATAAGGAGAGTTGAATTTGGGTTATTTTGCTGTGGGCCATTTCTTAAAGGTCTCAAAATACCTGATCTCCTTTGCGTGTTGATTAAGTGGTTGGCCAGGACAGAGATGGGATCTGAGCCTCCTGTCTTTTTATTAAGATGCATCCTGACACCAGGACAGGAGCACCCTGAGGAGCAGGTAAAACGTGGGACCAGAGGCAGCCCAAGGTGCTCATACCAGTCTCTTTCTCCCCTTCCTCTTCTGTGCCTGGCATTCTGAAGTTGTCCTGTATAACTGGAACTTAAGTCACAATCTGTCTGGAATTCTGACCAAAGCAGTGCAATTGGACTTGTGACACCCACTTTCCCACATTCCTGGGGCCATGGGTCAGTTTTATAAGGAAGTAGAGAGAATTCCCCATCTAAAGGACAGCGATGGAAAGGAGAGGGGTAGAAGGAACAGCAGTTCATGGGCCTTCGCTGGAATGGAATAAAGTTCCTAGTAATGGAGAACACTCGCCATTCTTTTCCTGATAAACCCATCGGTTACAAGAATCTCATATTCATTACACTCTTCCTGATGAGTAAGGCTAAGGATCATTCTAGAACCTGGAAGATAAGGATGAAAGATCTGATCAGAACTCACCCAGTCTGCCAGCTTAGAATGTGGTGGGGACTGCTTGGGGGCGTTGCTCCAATTTCACTCGATGGTGTTGAGCTTCTCTGGCTTTGAGGTAAGGCAGCTGTATGCAGGTGGTGCAGAAAAGATGCGTCAGACACCAATCAAGTGAAAGAGCTTCCTTCCAGAGATGCTGGATGCGACCCCTTGCATGGCCACTGTGGGCAAATATCCACCCCCTACACCCATGCATCTCTTCCACACCACTCAGCACCTCTATCCTCAGTCAAGTTGACCTGGGATCCGAGGTCCCCACTTTGCCACTGGAAAGTGGCCACAGGATGGTGGCAGCCTCCACAGTAGCAGAGAACCCAACGGCCCACAGACCTTTGGGCAGAGCCAGTGTAGGAGGGCCTATTTCTTTGGACACCAGGAAGTAACACTTCAGGGCATTTGTAGATGTGGCCCCAGTGGCAAAACTTGAACAGAGAACATCCAGAAAGGTTCTCAGAGCTTGCTGTCTGCCACTTCAGGCTTATAATCTACCCCTTTGGATACTTTAAAGGGCATTAATAGCTCATCCAAATCTAACTACTAGGAGTTTATTGACATGGGCAGACTTTTTCCAGTTGGGAAGTTTAGTAAGAAGTAAAGCCTCCTTAAGGGCATCCTTTGCTTTCTTGGAATGAATCTTTCATCAGAAAACCACAGATATACTTCTTAACCTTTTTAATCTAAAACATGTTCCAAAAGACATTTTGCCTAATCTCTTTAAATAAAGCACATCTACTCTCAAGTGCTAATGCTCTGATGGAACACAAACCCTCCCAGCCCTCTTTGGAGCGCTGCTGCTTCCCGTAGGGTATCAGGCTCAGCATGTCCATTCATTCCCTCTCCCAGTGCTCTGGAAAGTCGATGGCAGACTTCACTGGGCTTATTTTACAGCTGGAGGAATATGGAGATGGTTCTGGGGTTTTGAAGTCCATGGTTCTCTCAGGATTGCATGAAGCATTTTTATTATTATATCTGAACTTGTCATTTGACTGATGCACCATAATAAATGAGTCAGAACCAAGGCTCAGAACTAAGATCCCCTGTGGCCTGGCACGCCTGGGAAGCCCGCAGGTCCTTCCTCTTTGCCCTGCTCTTTCTAGGCCCCCAGAATCTCCTTCAGCTCCCCAAAGATGACCTCCTATTTTCTGTCTTTAGAATCACCCCTTCCTCCCAATCTTCAACCTCTTTTTGGCACAAGTCCAGACTTGCCGTGCCTTCCATATGCTATTGATTCTCATTTCATTCTACTTTTAAAATCATTTTAATTACATGTCAACATCCCCTCCCCCTTCTTTTCCTATAGTCAGTATGAGGCAGCATCTTGCAACTGCAGGAGATCCCCTCTCCTTATGAATGCCATGAGCATGGAAATGAGTTAGTCTGTGCCAGGCCCAGAGCCCCGCCAGCACCATTACTGAACAAGTGTTGATATTATTGCCAGGATTCTCTCAGACAGGGAGTAGGAAGGGAGTGTGATTTCTGAGGGGAAAGCATGGTTTCTTCCCTTTGTTAGTTAATTCCTCCTGCTCTGAGTACAAAAATAAAGTAACCCTTAATTTGGTTATGAAACTCTGGAAGCTCTTTACAAAAATGACTGTGGTTATATCCTAACACCTTTGAAAAGGGATTGCAAGGAGCAGTTATCCATGTGGTCACAGGGAAGTCCATTCATGGGTCACAGTGAAGTCAAGTGCCGCACTCCAGGCTCCACCAGCCTGCTCCTCCCGCCCCCCACCTCCCCGCCCGACACACCTGCCGAATCTCAAGGCTTCCACAAGCCAAAGCCTTAAGCAAGTCACTCTCTGCAAGGTGCCACCAGGTCTCTACCTCACCAGTGACTTAGGTACACCCTGAGACACCTAGCTTCTTTGATTTCTGTCCTCACCAGGAGAAGTGTCTGGAGGGATGGTTTTCATGCCTACTGAGGAAGCTGAAGTAGGAGCTGGCTCAATCCACTGGGGAAGATCTGATGTGCTGTCCCACCCCCTCCCAAGTCTGTCACTCTTGGCAATATCAGGCCCAGTATGGGAGGGGTAAAGGGGTGATTGCAAAACCTCAATTCTCATACAGCTGACAGCTAGGTTTCTGGAATTAACTATCTCTCATTCCTCACGGCAGACTCTTAAGAAATTCTGGAAGCCCTTGAAAAGAGTCAATAGCTTGCTCCTTCAGGGCCAGCCCCACTCTGTCCCCATTCTCACCTGACGTGGCCTTGCACATCTGGGGCATCCTGGTGACTCTGCTGTGGGCCAGGAAGGTGCTCTGGGAGGAGGTGCTGTACTGGGAGCCACTGTCAGAGGAGGTGGAGCTGGTGTGCGACAGGCGGCTGTGCTCCTTGTGAGAGGCGGTGGAGCGCTGGTACCACTGGCGCAACTCATCGGACACCGCGGTGCGCCCCGTGCCCTTGTCGTGGGTGCACTCGCGGCCCAGCGAGGGCGTTCCCAGGATCTGCGAGCGAGATGGCGTCAGGCGGCCGGCGTCGCCCTCCTCACTGGCCCTCCAGCTCTCCCGGAACAGGCCGCCTGCTGTGTAGGAATTGGAGGTCTTGAACTGGGCCTTGACGCTGTAGTGGCCCTCCTGGTCGCTCTCCAGGCTACGCACAACCACGGGCGTGGCGCCCCCCTCGATGTACAGCGGGTACTCTTTGATGCGGTACTGCGAGCTGGGTTGGCTCTGGCTGTGCAGGTAGACACCAGGTGGGTTCCCGCCGCCAACCCCCCTAGCGGCCAGATTGGGCATGCTGCCCGAGTTCGCTGTGCCCAGCGCACCCGCCGCCCGCTGTCTCTGCCGCTGCCTGGCACGCGCCTTGGAGGGCGAGTCCTCTGCCAGGGTGGAGTAGTTGGCATTCATCTGCGCTGGGTAGTAGTGCTCCGAGCTTGAGTGGCTGGTGCAGGAGGAGCAGTCGTCCATGGGGTCTGAACCATTGCTGCTACGAGTCCGCGGGGTGTAGAAGTCGGGGCTCCCTGTGTCATTCTCAGAGCCCAGGAGCTTGCCCTGGGACTCCAGGCTGGAGCTGCGGTGCCGAAAGTGCAGGGCGAGGCTGTGCAGGCGCGTGGGGCTGAGGTCCACGGACCTGCAGGGAGACGAAGGTGGTGGGTCTGCGGGCCCAGTGGAGGGTTGGGGGCTCTGCAACCCTCAGGAGAGAGCCTCTAGCTGCTGGGAAACTGAGCTGTGCTGCCCTGGGAATCCAGGTGCTTCCCATGGTTCTCAGGTGGAAAGGAGGCAGGAGAGCAAGGCTTACCCCTGGAGTCAAGCCTGGGCCTCTGCTGGGATTTTGACTCCCAGTGGGAGGTAAGACTGAAGACAGCGCCCACACAAGGGTTCCCTCTGAAAAAAGTGTGCCAATGGCCAGGGCTTTCTTTTATTTCCTTTTTTTTTAAGTGTAAAGGAATTTTATAGATACAAAGAGAACCAAAGAAAATGCCTATTCTAGTCATTATGTTAAGCCAAATGAAATGTCCATTTTGGCAGGTCAAAACAGAAACTATGGAGATTTCATATGGTTCAACCAAATACTATTATGAAATGCACATAAACAGCTTTCCATTCCATGAAGACTCTGAAAGGCAAGGTTGGTGGAACATGGAAAATGACTGATGCAAAAACTTACCATGCCACCATTTTGTTTATAATGTTTTTTGCTTATTGGAATCCATCCTATAAATATCCATCGATACTGTAGACTAGGGGTGTCGAACTCAATCAGAGAAGGGGCCAAAATCTAAAATCCAGCCTAAATCGCTGGCCGAATGGTTTACTGAACAGTCATAAACTGTCATTGTGATGGAAACGCAGCAGAGTGCAGTGATGACAGCGCGGTGCGGGCCACATTACAAGGCCTGGCGGGACTGATTTGGCCCGAGGGCCTTGTGTTTGACACACGTGCTGTAGACAATGCTAGGGCCATGTGTGAAGGTCAGGGTGGCTCTGTTGGCCAATTACAGGAAGATTTGAGTTCAGTTCTGACTTTCCCCAGGGGAGGAGAAGTTCCCTGGTCCCACACCACTTCGTCACTCTCTTCCAGCCACACTGGCCTCCTGGGAACATGCCATGTTCAGGCCTGTGTGCAGGGCTTTAACCTGCTGTTCTCTATGGTATCCTCAGAGCTTGCTCTCTCTCCCACCCCCTCCCCCTTTCCCGCCCCAGCCCCTTTCCATTCAGGTCTCTGCTCAAAGTTCACCTTATGAGAGAGAGCTTCTTCAAGCTTCTAGTTCACCCTTGCTTGGCTTATTGTTCATTTTAGTGCTATCACCACTTGACAAATATTTATTATGACGCCCAACTGAAATGTAAGTCTGATGAGAGCCAGGGTATAGTCTGCTTTTTTCACTGCTCTATCCCCTAGAATAGGGGTGTCGAACTCAATCAGAGAAGGGGCCAAAATCTAAAATCCAGCCTAAATCGCGGGCCGAATGGTTTACTGAACAGTCATAAACTGTCATTGTGATGGAAACGCAGCAGAGTGCAGTGATGACAGCGCGGTGTGGGCCCTAGAATAATACCTGCTACATGGAGGCACTTTATAAATATGTGCTGCATGAGTGAATAAACGCATGAATAAAATGAATGAGAAAATCTTGCCTGGAGTGCTCTACCTGATATAAAATGGTTTACCGTTTATGGATGCTCACACCTTCTCTCCTTTGAGGTATGATCCCTACAGACTCAGTTTTTGATAAAATGAAATGGTGGCTTTGGTTTTGCTTCTTTTTAGAAAATGAAGGCCTGATTCACTGGAGCCTCCCTTTTGCCCATTCCTTTTGTTCTTTAATGAATTTATACCCTGAGGCACATGTGTCAAACACAAGGCCCTCGGGCCAAATCCGTCCCGGCCCTCACCGCGCTGTCATCACTGCACTCCGCTGCGTTTCCATCACAATGACAGTTTATGACTGTTCAGTAAACCATTCGGCCAGCGATTTAGGCTGGATTTTAGATTTTGGCCCCTTCTCTGATTGAGTTTGACACCTTTACCCTGAGGTATTAAAAAGTCCGGGATAAATTAGGCCCCAGTAGAAAGCGACAGGAGGACTCTCCAGTAAAGATCACGTCATCAGGACAAGGTGGCGTGGCTCCAGCATGCTTCCCTGCTAATCTGCCGGTCTTTCCCGCCTGCATTCTGCTTAGGCCCCTTCCATGCGCACTGTCTGCCTGGGATTCTCCAGCTGCCTCCTGGTCCCACTAGGCATGGGCAGTGGGACATGATGGGTCTTTGCAAACATGGGCAGACTGCTGCCAGCTCAGTTTTAAATTCTGCTTCATTTTAAGGAGAAAGGACCTCACTAGTGCAGGCCTGGCTCTAGATCATCCATTATCTGAGCCAGTTGGAGCCAGAGATATCCAATTTTACAAAGGAAGTGGGCTGAGGGCCGGGTGGACTCACCTTGTGGAATGAACGTAGTGGGGACTCCGTACACGCAGGTCTGGTGTGGACGGCATGCTGGACTGCGAGTTCCAGTGAGGGAGACTGCGGATGGGGCTGTTCTGGAGAGAGCTGCTTCCCCCTCCTGCTTCGGCACAGCTCCCTGTGCTGGGGAAACGCTTGTGGCTGCTGCAAACCAGAGGAAGCCATGCTGGTCACTGCCACAGTGCTGCACCCGTGCTCAGGGCTGACTAGCCTCCAGACATCAGCATTGGTGTTGGGTGGGCTTGCTCAGGATTCCCACCCTTATTCCCTCTGACCTTCGAGCCTTTCCCTGAGAATCCTTATTCCTGGCCCCTGGGTCCTGGTCAGCCTTCACTGGGACAGGGAACAGGACTGTCTGTGAAGCCTCTGTCCTAAACTGCAGTTTCTGTTTTCCAACAGACAAACATATACTTGACTGGACACCCACTTGGAGCTTAAATGGTATAATGAAAGGACATGAGAAAACCAGAGAAGTCAACCAAACAGCCTCTCCAAAACCTCTCTCCAAGATCAGCCCAGTAATGAGCTGATAATGCACAGCTGAGATTACAGTGTTTAGCTCTAGAATCCTGTTGGCTGATGGCTTAGGACAGGGGTCGGCAAACTCATTAGTCAAAAGAGCCAAATATCAACAGTACAATGATTGAAATTTCTTTTGAGAGCCGAAAAATTGACTTCTGCGCACGGGCCACAAAGTATCAATCACATTGTCTGTGCGTGCCCGCATGTGGTATTTTGTGGAAGAGCCACACTCAAGGGGCCAAAGAGCCGCATGTGGCTCGTGAGCCGCAGTTTGCCGACCACTGGAATAGTACTGTCCAAGACTTCCTGATCAATTTTTGTGGAATTTAACAACATTAAAACCATCTGCCAACACGTTGGCTGTGACCCCAAACCCCCATTTTCCCTTGGAATGACAATTCTGCACCTGGACAGGCAGCCTTCCTGTTGAAAGTCAACCCCTGGAAGGAATTGGGTTGATTTGGATGTTGTAATTTGTGGATGCCATTTGGGACAGCCCGCCGATGCTTTCAATAGCTGTCAACCAGGCCTCTTGTGGCCTTCCCCACCCAGCTCACCTGGAATGACTGTGGGAGGACCGTTTCTTGACTTTCTCATACGGCTCATCTAACGAGGACTCACTCCACATTTTGGGCTTTAAGGGTGACTTGTCATAGTCGTTGCGGTGATAGTGCATCTGCCTCAGTCCCTCCAGGGACTGGGGAGGAGGGGGCCTGTTATGCGATGATGGTGGCCGAGGAGGAAGTCCCTTGTGAGGAGACTGTAAGGGGGACAGTGTGCTGGAGACCTGAGAGTCCTCTGTGCAAAGACGGAGAGAGAGCAACTGAGCAAGGGTCGTCCTTCCTACTGACTCCAGACAGGCTCCCACCCACCTCTGCCCCAAGAGCAACACCTGGGAGCCAGGCCAGCATTCACTCTTGAAGGCGCCCATGACGCTTTCCCAGTTGCCAAACAAGTCAATCCAGAACAACCAAACCTAAACTGTGAGCAGCATTTAATGAGAAGAGGAAGCTCAATTCTGATGAGCTACAAATGGAGTAAACACAAATTTCATTAAATCCCATGGATTAACACTTGCTTCATACCAAACAGCAAAATGTCCTCATTGTTGTACATTTTATTTCAATAGATAGGACTTATCTGATTTGCTTTGGAGGATTTCAGCCCATGAGGGTTTTGTCTAGTCTGTTAACTGCTTAGTGTGTACAATGATTATTGACACATAGTAGGTAATCAATAAGTCATTTGTTAGAAAAAAATGAATAAAAGCATATCTGTTCAGAGTAATGATCCACTGGTGGCTCTAGGTACCGACTCTGCTTTTTCCCGAACTATATACACAATTTTTAACATGTTCCCATAAAATATTTTCATTTTGGAACTGCCTTAGGTTCTTTGGGAAGGAGATGGGCTACAACTATTATAAATGAACTAGAGGTCTGATACACAAAATTCGTGCATGGGGGGGAGGGGAGGTAGTGTCCTTCAGCCTAGCCTTCACTGGGACCCCTTGGGGGATGTCCAGTGGGGTCGGGCCTAAATGGGCAGTTGGACCTCCCTCTCAAAATCCAGGACTGCTGGTTCCCAACTGCTTGCCTGCCTGCTAGCCTGATCACCCCCTAACTACTCCCCTGCCAGCCTGATTGCCCCTAACTGCCCTCCCCTGCTGGCCTGGTCCCCCCCGACTACTCTCCCCTACTGGCCTGATCGCCCACAACTGCCCTACCTTTCAGGCCTGGTCCCTCCCAACTGCCCTCCCCTGAAGGCCTGATCACCCACAACTACCCTCCCCTGCAGATCTTGTGGTGGCCATCTTTGACCACATGGGGGTGGCCATCTTATGTGTTGGAGTGATGGTCAATTTGCATATCACCTCCTTATTTGATGTAACATTGATGTAACACTCTAACATCAATGGCCGTAAGAATTTCGAAGGAAGTGAATTCAGTTCAGAAGGGATTTCAGCAGTGGTCTGGTGAAGAGGAAAAACAAAAGGAAGAAGCCAGGACCAGACACAGCTGGCACAGCAGCTGGTGTGGAGGATCAGAGGGTGACAGGAAGGAGCTCTGGTCTAGTGTAAGAGCAAGAGACCTTCTGTGGGTGCCAAGATAAGCAAGGTGCCCTACTGACAGGGCCCTTTCATTCCGGATTCAGGTGTCAGGATTAGGTCTGAAAGCCACAGGAAAACTTAGCATGGATGCATTAGGATGAAAGTCCTGTTTAGTCATCTGGCAGGGTTCACAAAAGGGTAGGGTGAGAGAGGATTAGGGAGGGGTTAAGGAAGATAACAAGTGGTGAGAGCCCCCTGGAGGGCAGCACTGAGCACAGAGGCAGGAAAAACTCATTGTTCCTTGTGGAAGCTGAGGTGGGAGTTTGAGGGGAACATTACCCAGAAGAAACCTCAAACCCCAAAAACAATTCATGTGACCCTAAATCCACCTCCAAAGAGTGTTCCTTTCACAGACTACTGCTCAGTTCCCAAGACCTGAACATGTGCTACGCTTCTGCTCCTGCATCTCTTAGATCAGTAAAGGGAAGGGCCCCTAGATGGGAAAGCCTGAACTAGAGAAGCAGTAACACCCCCTGGTTGTCTGGGGGTTTGCAACATGGGGAAGAAGCTAATCATAAATGATGCATCAGAATTAGCCAATGACAATGTATAATGCCCCCAACTTCTCGGTTACAAAGGAATCTCATGAAATTGCTCTCATTTCCTCTCCTGGAGAGACTAGAGTCCACAGGGGCCAAAACAGGGCTGGATCTCTGATCTTCCAAACATAGTTCTCTCCCCCCTGCAGCCCCACTTCCTCCCCACCCACGTAACCAAGTGACAATAAGAATATTACAGTGTGATTGATAATGGCAGGGCCAAGATGACTGGGTAAATAACCCGCCAGCCTTTCACCACATTAGCAGCAATTATTATTATTCTTGTGATTATCCGCATTAGTCTGACCTGGGTAGACCTTTTATGTTTTCAATCTAAATAGTTAAGTATCACTGCCCACCTGCTCTTTCCTAAGGGGTAAAAAATTAACTGCCACTTAATGTATTTCCATTTCATTAATGTCCTGGCCTCATGAGTTTGGGGTTAAATCCGTAGGAACGTGTTCGGAGATGGTTCTGGGTTGGACTTCCTTTCTATTAATATTCTATGTCAGGTGTGGATTGGGGGTCCGGGTTGGAGTCACTTCTGATTTTCCTGCTACCTCCAGGCTCTCCTAGCAGGTTTCAATCTTTGATTTGTGACCCAAATCAATGATTGCATCTTTCCTCCAGAAATAAGGAAACAATGTGTAGTGTAGAGATTCTGTTTAGATAAAAATGTGGTTTGGCAACTAATAAAGTAAAGTACAACTCACTGACTATCATCTTAAATCTGACCTCTCAGGCACAGAAAACACTGAAATTCCCATAGACATGGTTTTCATAGCGCCCAGCAGCTCCCAACCAACTCTGTGACTATCGGGCAGTGAGAGAATCGCAGGGAAGCTGGGGCCATCCTGGCCCGGCTCTCCCCATTACACTGGCCTGTCCCAGGCTACATATAACTTAACCCAGTTTAATCCATGCCCCTTCCCAGGGCCCCCAACCACCTACCATCCTCCAGAACAAGGGCATCGGAGAGGGAACTGTCTTCACTGCCAATATTTCCATCTGAGAAGACAAAAAGCAAAAGTCTGAGAGTTTATCACATCTTTAGACAAAGGCCTATCTGTAAAAGTCATGTGTTTAGCATATCTTTCTCTTTCTAATCAGAGAGAATCCATGAAAAACAATCCAAATGCTGCTGGGCATTTCTATGATAGCCCGCACCATGGCTCATGAGCTAACCCCCACCCCCAACACTCAATGAGCCTGTCTTTGAGTTCTTGTCAGACAGGGCACCGCAATGCTGAGTGGCTTTATATCCAATAGGCTGCCTGGCCGGGTTAGGTCACACCATGATCTCAAGCTCATTTCTGACTGACATGTTCAGACCGACCTATAGGAAGTGAACTGCTCTTGATTGTACAAATGTGAAACTAGGGTGAGAAACTTGGCTTTGCTCACAGGGCAACAAATGGCTTCTTAATAAATGTCTTAAGCCATTAGTGGTGGTGGTGGTGGTGGTGGTGGTGGTGGGGAACAGGGTGGGGAAGGAAGCTGCTAAATTCAGCTTCTATCTCTACAAAGCTTATTTTCATAGACCCCATTCAACTAACCATGAGAACATGCCAAAGAGGGAAACAGTAAGGTAACCCTCCCCACTAAACATCTGGTGAAACTGAGGTACAGCTAGGGAGCTGGTTTGTCTGGGATTGCTCAACTCTCCTGGCAACAGGTCTTTGGATACCAAATTTAGTGTTTTTCTTTTGAAATAAAAATTATGCTGCTTGGCCAGTGGGGCTCATTGGTTAAGAATGGACCTATGAATCAGAAGGTCATGGTGATTCCTGGTCAGGGCACATGTTCAGGTTGAGGGATTGATCCCCTGTGTGGGACATGCAGGAGGCAGCTGATCAATGATTCTCTTTTATCACTGATGTTTCTATCTCTCTCTCCCTCTCCCTTCCACTCTGAAATTAAATATAAACATAAATATAAATATAAATACACACACACACACACACACACACACACATATAAAATTTAAAAATAAACAGGCTAAGGAACTAGGAAGAATCTTCTCTAATTCAAATGGGCTTGTATGATGAAAACATTATTTTGAAAGAGGGAGCAAAACAGAGAAGATACATTCTTGAGTTGGAGTGTCCTTGTGTACACCAAAAGCTTGCAAGTTTGATTCCCAGTCAGGGTACATACCTAGGTTGCTGGTTCGATCCCCAGTCAGGGTGTGTATGGAAGGCAAGGCAACTGATCAATGTTCGCTCTCACATCGATGTTTCTCTCTCCCCTCCTCTGTATAAACATACCCCGGGTGAAGATGAAAAAGAAATGGCTTCAGGCTTGGATGGGTCCTGTCACCAGTTAGTACAGATGATGTCAAAATTGACTCTGTCAGCATTCCTAACAGAATAGCCCTCACGGGTTAATTAGATTGCTTAGTGCATGATGGGAGCTGGGCTCTGGCCCACTCAGGCCCGGCTCCAGCTCCCAGGGCTGTGGGGCGTGGGGAGGGGCTCAGCACTGACCATCAATGATGAGCGAGGCCCTCTGGGTGGGTTTCTTCCCAGACTTGATGCGGTTCTCGTTGATGGCATTCTCAATCTCTTGCAGCTTTTTCAGGGCATTCAGATAGGAGGTTTTCCTTTGTTTCTTCAGCTTTTTGCTGACGTTGGGGTCACTGGCGAGGCGGCGGGCAGCCTCTGTAATCTGGGATTGAATGGCAAACTCTCGTTCCAGGCGTTCCAGCTCGGCTTCCTGTGGGAGGGAGAACCTGGGTTTCACCTCTGTCCTTTTCACCCCCACCCCGCAAGGCGAGCCAGCCTTTCTCACTCCTGGAGGCCACAGCATGAGGCACCCAGCAGTCCCACTGCCTAATGCAGTGATCCTGCTCCTAAAATCTCTGGCAGCCAGTGCCCTGGGCACACACACTTTTGAGACTGTGGCCCTTGTTCCACTCTGGAGACAAGGTTGGTCTGCACAGGGGATCCATCACTGCGAAGCAAGGGGTCCCCATGCTGAGGGCCTGGGGCCTCCTGGCTTCATTCCCATGGTCTCCACATGGTTCAAGAAGACCGAGCCTTCATGGAAATTCAGACCCACTGGGTTTGAATGGGCACAGGATGCAGCACTATTTTCAGAGCACCTTTCTGTCCTGCTCTGTGGGCCTGCTGATGGGAGCTCCTATGTGCCCACCTTCCCCACACCCCTCAGTCTCTCAGATTTTGAGCCCTCTGTGCTGGAGCCTGACAACAAGTCAGCAGGGACAAAGACGGAGTGAGCTGTGAGTGGGATCCCACCAGCTAGCTGTGCTGACAGCCCTGGCTCAAAAACTGCCTCATGGCTTTGTGGACACCAGGACAGTCTCACTGCTTAGACTGAGCCCAGTACATGCTGGCAGCCCAGTCTGCATAGATGGGCATCTGCTGTGGGGGAGGGTGGGAGTTTCCAAGAGAAAAGGGAGTTTGTTCTTCAGAGAGCAACTCTGCATCATGCCAGCTAATTCTGAGGTCTTTCTTTTGATAGATTTTGGAACCAAGATATACAGGAACATGTTAAAAAGATGGGGATACACATGGAATTCTCAGGGAACTAAAGGCATATTTTGTACCGAGCAGCTGGTGAGAAGGTGCTGTAAGATGGGACTGCGGGAAGGACAGGGGGGCTGGGGTGGGGGAACACTCACTAAGGCTCCTCATAAAAGTTGAGTGCCTGGTATCTGCCCAGCACCAGGGAGGGGAAGTTCCTCAGGTAATTCTGATGACAGCAGACTTGAGATATACTTGACCACATGGTCTTCTAAATCCCACCCGCCCTTGCCCCAGTTCTGACGTATTATATTTCTGCCTCTTCCATAGGCTGCACCTATCCTGTAATGTCCCCTTCTCCACCTCAAGCTACTCATGTTTGTTGCTCATCAAGCAGGTGTGAAGTCCCAGGTTAAACTTCCTAAATATAGTAGCTCACTTAACCCTTGATCTGGCCCAAAGAAATAAGGACTCCGCAATGCACTTCATTGTACAGCACAGGAAACTGCCAGGTGAAGATGCAGGTTTGGGTGAAGCATTTGGTGCAGCGCCCAGCCCCCTGGGGCCTCCTGGTGCAGATCTCAGCAGACTGGCCCCCGCTTCCACCCGCTCCAGGACCCCGTGTTCCGGTGACTTCACCTGCACGCTAACCAGTGGGCATGTTCTCAGTAAGTAACCAGGGTTGGGAGGACGTTAAAAAGACACGCAATGGGCATTGATGAACCTTACAGCGTGCAACAGGCCTTCCTGTCAGATACACAACTTGCCCTAAAAGCAAAAAGCTTAGGAACGCTCATCCTACCGTGGGAGCCACATACTGACCAACCTGTGCATGTAACAAGAGGCGAAGGGAAACTGAGCAGAACGGGGAAAGGGCAGCTGGCACTGTGCAGAATGCTGCAGCTGTGACAGAAAACCTGGGAAAACCCAACAAACAGACAAATGAGAACCCAACACCAGGAAGAAGGACGCACCTCTCCCTTGGGCAGGATTTTCTGTTCATCCAGCTTAAAGGCGGTCCCAATTCTTCTTCGAACAATGGGTGGTTCCTCCCCCGGGTCCAGAGGATATTCAACAGGCAGTTTGCCTGTCAGCTCCTGCAAATGTGCAATAGCAGGGGGGCGGAATCAGGGGGCGGGTGCTTGTTTCCAAGACACACACACACACACACACACACACACACAAAGCAAAATGCCTATGAGAAGGCAGGGCGGGGCGAGGATGAGCTCCCAACTCCGCCCCGCAGGGCGGAGTTATCCCTAGCCCTCACTCAACCAATCAGGGTTAGCCGAGGCAGTGACATCACCACCGACCAGAGTAAAACCCCTGGACTGGGAGAAGTTCGCGCTCTTCCGCCATGCTGCCGGCGTGAGTTGGGGAGCCCATGCTAGCATGGTGAAGGCTCTTTTGTTTATTGCATCGGACTCGGCTCCCTGGTGGTCCTTGGGGATCACGAAGTCTGGGCGTAACATAAGGGGGAATTTGTCCGGGATCCCCAGCACCATAAGAGACCCGATCCAGAGAGCCTGACTGGCCGTGGTAGGTGTGTGTGTGTCTGTGTTTTTGTGTGCGCGTTCTGGAGGGACGTAAGACCCCTTGTGGAATTGGTGCCCGAAACGCCTGGTGGATGCACCATGAAGGCCACGGGCAGGAGGATCAGAAGACGTTCTGACCTCCCGGGAGGGCCCGAGAGGGACCCTCGTATGGGGAGAGGAATGGCGTGAGCCGTTGCCTCACCTGCGGAAAGTGAGCCTTTCCCAGGTCTGAGTTTGGTATCTGTGGGCGACATGGCGCCCCAGGATGGAGCCGGCAAAGTGTGGCCAGCATGGCGGTGCGGGGCCCCCTGGCGGCATTGGGTCGGAGGGGGTGCTCCTGCGGGGCTCAGTTTGCGCGTTGGAGCGCAGCTGGGCAGTGGTGGCCTCGCTCAGGGAGCAGGCACCTGGGTTAATTTGCTGGCTGCCTGGAGAAGGGGAAGTGGAGCCGGGAAGCCGCTGGGGCGACCCGCGCTTTCTCCTCGGGGGCTGCCTGAGTAGTGTGGCTGGGGTGGCCAAAGCAGCCTCGCTCCGGGGGCCTGGGCCCTAGGGGCCTGGGCCAGCATGGAGACAATGGTCCCTGGAGACATCAGGTACCGGAGAAGAGTTCTCAGTAAAGAGAAAAGGCCAGTTCAAAACAAGTGAGCATAGTTTTGGGTTGTGCTTAAAAACACTTTTCTGGGTACAGAATAAGTTTTAAAAGTGGTGGAGATAACTGGGAGATAAATTAAAACTGGTTTCCCAAGTCATTGTAAGCAGCTTTTGAAATTCCCCGCCATGAGGTGGAAACTAGATGGTAATGGTAACAAGTTTATGTGAATGGTGGTGAATGGCCATGAATGGCCAGGAGTCTTCAGCTAAAGAATGTGTTCATTTGCATTTGAATGCTACTCCAGCTTCAGGGAGTGGCAGGTGATTAGGTGGTGAAGCAGCCCAGATGGCTTTGCTTACAATGGTTAGTCTTGTCATTGGTATCAGCTAAGCAGAGTCATATAACTACTTAAGTATGAATTGTGATTGACCTATGATTTTCTGACATTGTCTTAAATCTTAGTAAACTGCCTCTGGTGTGGAGAGGTCTAGGGAAGGCCAGAGCACGCAAGACTATTAGCTCTCCTGCAAAGAAATTATTCAGTGCTTTGTTTGAACTTCAGAAAAAATTTTGAGATTTGAAAAAAACTGTATGATTAGATCTGTTGCTGAAACTTTACCCTAAGTAAGCAGGATGTATTAGAAATGTAATGTTATTAATCTAAAAAAATGCCAAATATATTTGACTTGCCAGCTTTAAAAGCTCAAAGTATAAATTGAATTAGGAAAAGTTAATTGCAGTACAGTGGTGCCTCACACAACAAACTTAATTCGTTCCAGGAGCAAATTTGTTATGCGAAAAGTTCGTTATGTGAAACGCGTTTTCCCATAACAATACATGTTAAAAAAAAATAATTCGTTCTGTAGCATAAAATATGCTAAGATGACATAAAAAAAGATAATTTTTTTGTTATTATTTTTATTTAGATACATCTAAAAACATAATTAAAAAAAAAAAAAACACACACATTTTTTTAATTTTAAGACAGACTAAGTAGAGTCTACCGAATCTTGCACATCTTCATCCATTTTCTGCTTTTTGGCCGATGGTTTCATGAAAAACCTGTCCAAAGTCGTTTGTTTTTCTCTTTTCTCCAACATCTGCCGGAAATAACGGACAAGAGTTTCGGAGTAAAGATCCTGTTTGCTTCAGCTGAATCCGGATAGTGGGCATTGGTAAACTCCTGAACTGCTTTCCATTTGACCAGGATGTTCTTGATGTCAGCAGTTGGGATTGGTTGATTGTTTGATTGTTGCTCCTCGTTATCAGATGACGCTTCCCTTTGAGCATTGTCCTGTTGCTGGACCAGAAGTGCTTGGAGCTCTTCAGTTGTCAGCTCTTCTTCGTGTTCCTCAATAAGCTCCTCTACATCCTCTTCCTCTACCTCTAATTCCAACCTTTGGGCCACTGTGATGATGTCCTTCACCACTTCTGTGTCACCAACTACTGCTTCTTCCTGGGTCCACGAAGGCACAAGCATCTTCCAAGCAGAAATGAGGGTCCTTTGTGACACTTCTTCCCAGGCCTTCTGTATAAGTCGTATTGCCATAAGGACATCAAATTTCTCCTTCCAAAACTTTCGGACAGTCATATTGTCTCCACCAAACTCGCATTCTTCAAACACCTTATTAAAGAGGGTTCTAGTGTAGAGTTTTTTAAAGTTCGCAATAACTTGCTGATCCATTGGCTGAAGAATGGATGTGGTGTTTGGTGGCAAATACTGCACCTTGATAAAAGGATAATTTTCCTGCAATATTTCCTCTAGGTCTTTTGGGTGAGAAGGGGCATTATCAAGTATCAGAAGGGCTTTGAGCGGCAGTTCTTTTTCCAGCAAGAATTTCTTCACGGCAGGAGCAAAGGTTTCCAGAATCCATTCGTTGAAGATAACTTGGGTCACCCAGGCTTTTTGATTGGACTTCCAATGGACGGGCAGTTTGGACTTAATAACGTTATTTTTCTTGAAAATTCTTGGATTTTCAGAGTGATAAACCAATAGAGGTTTGATCTTGAGGTCTCTGCTGGCATTAGACGAAAACATAAGGGTAAGTCTGTCCTTCATGGCTTCGTGTCCTGGCAATTTCTTCTCCTCTTTTGTAATGAAGGTTCTGCTCGGCATTCTTTTCCAGAAAAGACCCGTTTCATCGGCATTGAACACTTGTTGTGGGCAGTATCCTTCATCCTTAATACATTTTTGAAAGTTAATAAAGAACTTTTCTGCTTCTTTCTTGTCAGCACTGCCAGCCTCACCATGCATAGTAACGCTGTGGATTCCACACCTTTTCTCAAATCTAAAAAACCACCCCCTGCTGGCTTTGAATTCTTCTTCATTATCTTGATTGCTGCTACTTCCAGGGACGTTTTTCTTTAGATCGTCATAAATTCTCTTGGCTTTGTGACAGATAATATCTTGGGTTGTTACGTCACCTTTCACCTGCCTGTCTTTAATCCAAATCGCTAATAGCCTCTCCATTTCCTTGTGGATTGAAGACCTATGTTTTTCATGAAATAGTTTTGATACTCCTTTGGCTACTTTGGCTGATTTGATTGCATCCTTATTTGTCAAAATGGTGAAAATGGTGGTCTTGCTGAGGCCAAACTCTTTGACGAGGTCACACTGTTTTACCCCACATTCACTCCTTCTAATTATTTCCTGTTTCATTTCAACAGAAATCACCTTCCTGCTTTTTTAGAAGCCATGATATAAAAAAAAATTGAGTTTAACTTAAAAGGACGACTGCCGTGATACGTGCGTGATTTAATTCGTAATGAAGAACGATTGCCGCGATACGTGCTTAAGTTAAGCGCAGTGACTAACGACTGCCTGCAGTGCCTGCGCGGAAGGATGCAATACATCGGCAGCAATCGTGGAAGCTCGGGCGAAGCAGTCGTGGAAGCTCGGGCAAAGCGGTCGTGGAAGCTCGGGCGACTTTGTTGTGTGAAACGAAGTTCGTTGTATGAATCATGAAAGGAAGTTCGTTGTGTGCAGCGTTCGCTGTGCGAGGCGTTCTTTATGCGAGGCACCACTGTAACTAGATGCCTAGAATATGGCAGGCTAAACTGTATTATATGTGTTTAGAATAAGCAGTAATGATCAAAGATCTCAAGGATTGATTTATTCTCATTTGTCAGATGAAAAAGTATGTAATGCTTACACTTAAAAAATTATTTTAAGTCAGTTTTTCTGAAGTAATGTTTAATGTAACATGAAACTTTTATATTTGATTTATTTTGTTTTGCTTTTCTCATATGCCATTGTTGTTGAATTTGGGCTTGTACCTGCATCTTGTATTTTGTTTAAACTTTGGGAATCATTTTTGGTTTCAGTCATGTGTATCTACTTTATAGGTTTAAGTAGACTTCATCACAAAGCTTTATAATTTATTTAGAATTGTGTTAAAACAATGTGAAAACAACTATTTGTATGATTTAACCCCCCGAGACTGCTTGGACAATTTTCACCGATGTTCTGCGGGGGGGAGTAGAGGGGGCTTAGAAATGCAGATAGATCTGTATCTGTAGAAAAAATGTGGCATTTTAAATTTCAAGAGGCTGGAGGCCTGGGAACAGGTACTGGACCTGCTTCCTCCTCCCTTGCCTTTTCTTTAAAATTTGAGGCATGGTTATGTATTTTTGGAAAATAAGATTTTTATAAAAATTATAAAGAGTATGTCCTGACAGGTTAGCTAGGAGAGGCAAGCCTGTTAGTTTCCTGATGGGCATTGGGGCAGCCTATTTAGTCTTGAGAGAGCCAATAGGACCCATACATCAGCCCAGGAAGCCACCGGAAAAACTGCCTGTTTTCCTTGGACATCAAGAAGGACTGTGGTCCTCAGAAGGAACACGTACTGGGGGAATGCAGCTGTTGAACTGGTCCAAAGTGGAACAACAAGTCTTTGAGGAGCTAAAGAAGGCTCTCATCTCAGCAGCTGCCCTAGCCTTGCCAGGTGTCGCGGAGCCCTTCCACCTCTACGTGAGTGAGGTAAGAGGCATTGCCTAAGAGGTTCTCACTCAGACTCTAGGTCCCTGGAAGAGACCTGTTGCCTATCTGTCAAAGAGACTGGACCCTGTGGCAGCAGGGTGGCCAGCGTGCTTCCAGGCAGTGGCCACCACAGCATTGCTGGTGAAGGAGGCAGATAAGCGGACTCTGGACCAGGAGCTAACCTGGATGGGTCAGGCTTTTCTCTGGGACCAGCCCTGTGTCCGGATTCATAAAACTCTGGCCATCAACCCTGCCAGCCTGCTTCCAGATGATGATGAGGAACCCATTCATGACTGCACAGAGGTAACAGACGACAAGGTACTGTTCACGGATGGGAGCAGTTACGTTCAGGATGGGACCTGATATGCAGGGGCAGTGGTAGTCACCCTGGACCACACCATTTAGGCACAGTTCCAGAACTTTTGGCCTTAATCCAGGCCCTTTGATGGAGACACTGTGCCATCCACAGAGGAAAGAGGGTTACCAACTGCAGCCAGAAGGAATTGGCTGAACAGAAGCAAGCCACTGAAGGACCAGATGGTGGATGGATCCTCCAGATGACAAGACTGTTGGTCCCAGAGGCTCTAGGTCAGAGTTGCCCGGTGACACCAGGTTAAGTGTCACCAAGACTTCTGAACTTCTATGAGGCAGAGTTGCTAGAAGTACTGTCTGTGCACAGGTAAATGCTAAGCAAGGTAAGGGGGTCCCTCTGGGAATTCGGGTCCCAGGGAACCTCCCCAGGAGAGCATTGGTAGGTGGATTTCAGAGATTAAACCACCAGCATTAAGCTAGTTTTTATAGACACTTCAGATTAGATTGAGGTATACCCCACTATCAGATAACAGCCCCACCTTGGTAGCTAAGATATCTCAGAGTATAGCTCTAGCCTTAGGACAGGTAAGTGGGACTCCGGAAAAGGGGGTTTAACTAAATGTGTCTTAGAATCGGTGAAAATTGGACCAACCCCCTGTCCTTTGCCCTCTTGAGGGCCAGGTGTACCCCTTATTGGGACAAGTTTCCCCTTTTTTGGGAAGGGATCATGTATGGTAACCATTTCTTGCTCAAGTCCTTACAGGCTCTGCAGTTTGTTTGTTCCAGATTGACTGCCAGTGCCCACCGCAGACCCTGTAGCCCTGGAACTCAATGTGGGTAAAGAAATTTGCTGCCCAAGGACTCAAAGGGATGCTGCACTGTTATCCTGAGCACACCCACTGTTGTTGAAGTAGATGGCACCCAGACCTGACTACATGACTCCCAGCTCCTGCATGGCCTGGATCCTGGCAACTACAGGCCAGAAGGAGAACTGATGCCTACAGGAGGGGAACTGGACTTCGGTGAGGACAATACTGATGGGAACTGTGGTACTAAGGGTCTTGGTAACTGTATTTGTTGTTTATGCTGAAAGGAAGTAGGCTGAGTCAATGATTTGACTAGGCACATTAGACAAGGGGGGAATGAGAAGGCAGGGCGGGGCGAGGATGAGCTCCCAACTCCGCCCCGCAGGGCGGAGTTATCCCTAGCCCTCACCCAACCAATCAGGGTTAGCCGAGGCAGTGACATCACCACCGACCAGAGTAAAACCCCTGGACTGGGAGAAGTTCGCGCTCTTCCGCCATGCTGCCGGCGTGAGTTGGGGAGCCCATGCTAGCATGGTGAAGGCTCTTTTGTTTATTGCATCGGACTCGGCTCCCTGGTGGTCCTTGGGGATCACGAAGTCTGGGCGTAACACCTAAATAACTGTTAATAAGAATTTTTGAAATGTGATTTCATTTCTATTAAAATGGATGAGAGCAGCCCCTTTTTGCAGAACTGATGCACTTTTCTGCAAAAAGGGGCTGCTCTCATCCCCCTTCCTGCTCTGCACCCGAGAAGAGCCCTCGGCCTTTTAGTCCTTTTAGTCCGGTGTAAGCATTCTAGAGGACAATGGCAAACTGTCTGAGCATGGAAGGCTCATTCTTCCTTTCTGTTTCTTTCCTTTTCATTGTGGTTCAAATGCTGCCAAAGTCCTATTAGTTTATTCTGTGACATGTCTATCTGCTTCCCTCAAAGTCAGTCTATAAACAACATGCACACTAAGAATTTTATATTGCTAGGGCTTTCATTTTTCACCTGAAACTTATAAAAAACAAACAAACAAAAAAAAAAAAAACACCTTATAATATGGAAAGTCCAAAGTATCTATGGTTTTTTCTTTTAAAAATATTACATTTTAAAAAATGAGGCTACTGATTTTCCACCATCTGCCTGACAGTCTTTGACTCAAGGCCTCGATTCTCCACATTTAATCCGATTTCACATGTAACCAGAGCCACAGGAGGAAGGGGGATTTCACACACTGTTGTGGGGCTTGGCTTGGTTCCTCTTAAATTCTTGTATTGGTATTTCTGCCAAATACTCCTGCTCCACCCATTCTGACTGCCCCGCTAGCTCTCCCGGGGACAAACTGCCCCCTGACATCCGGGGCGGAGTGGCACAGACAGAGGCAGCCGAGGCTCCCCTGCCCCGGACTACAGAGGCGTCCGGAGACTAGAATGGGAGATGTCACAAAGCAATCTGCCTGGTGCCAGAGAGGGTATCCCTTCTGCTCAAGCTGTTTTGTGCTGTCAACATTGTAAGAAGCAAAAGCTTTGTTTTCTTGATATTGCTTTTCATTTTAAGTGACACAGAGACCTTCTTTAACACTCGCTAACCCTGCCCTGACACGTTTCTCCAATTTTCTGATGCTAACTCCCTGCTGGGTTTAGGGACATTGTCTCTATTAAAAACAAAACAAGTCTTTACAAACTATTAGATGCAGACACCCAAAGCCATGCTTTTAAAATTCTTCGAGCATATTCTTTATACAAATGCCGGTGACTGCTGCAAACCAGAGGAGGACATGTTGGTCATCACCGGAGAGCCACACCTTTCCCTGGGAGTCTCAAGAAAATGCTTGCTAGGGACCCCTCCTTCCTCTCCTCCCTCCCTCAGGGCATATACTTTCCTAAGATTTGCAGTGGTTTGTGCTAATGAGGGTCTGGTTTGAGTTGGCTCTGGTTTAAATCAATCTGGTACCTAATTAAGCCAAGTGGAAATGTAATGTGATCTCATTCTAAGCCCCCTGGTTCATTTGGCTTGGGGCGAGACACTATTACTGCGGGGAGGGGAATACAGTCTGGGAGCCTCTTTATACTTCCGATTCTCAACTGCTCACCAATTTGGCTCTTTGTAATATTATATGAACTACAATGGCTCCCTGGAGGGCTCCCGCCCTATCCTGTGCAGGTGCAAGAACATACACACGCATGTCCATGCACACACGCATGCACAGTAAGGTGTATTGCATTAAAAATTCAATTCATCAGACATGCTAACAGAGAATTGCAGAATATACAAAAGAAGGTGGAAGTGGACATTCAAATAAAAACAATGGCTTGTCACAGTCTCTGAGTCTCAATGAAACCTGAGACCAGTGCAGATAGAAGCTTGAGGAATGTTGCTATGCAGAAAACTTAAAGATATCACTAGGCTAAGACTTCATTTTTTCTTTTTTTAAAGAGCGTCACATCAGGTGAGTTTTAAAGGGAATTATATATAAAGTGAAGTCCTATTTCTTTATTGATTCCTAGTGATGCTTCTCAGCATGATTTCCAAAGATATAGTATCTGACACAGCCTCAAGGGAACAAAAGCCACAACAGTCAACTCAGACACAAAGTCTTAGAAAATGGTGGCAAACCACGACAGTCAGGGAGGTAATATCATATGAGAAAATGCTTTATAAACTATAAAGGGGTATTATGCAAACATGATTTACAGGTGCTACCATGAAAGGTCTCTAGTGAGGTCCCAGGTGAGACTCAGCTTTCACTGGTGCCCTGGAATCCCATTAATGTCACCACTTTTGTTTCTGATGCGGCACAAGACGGGTTGAATATTTCCAATGTTTGTGTGTGAGGAGCTCTTATTTTCCTCATATGATCTCTGTGACCGACTCCCCTTTATAAATATGTGAAGGCAGATAAGGGCTCAGACAATACAGACTTCCCCAGGCAGTAACAGTAACTGCTTACGGCTTCTCGCAGGCAGAGTTTCTTGAGCTCCTCCAGCCGCTGGCGCAGCGTTTCCTCCAGTGCTTCCTGCCGGGACTTCAAGGCAGCCAGCATGTCTTTCTTGGCGGACTGAGAGCTATCCGATTCCTGAGAACCTGTCAATAAACAGTGGGGTTACTGGGCCAGCTCAGTGGGGGACACACATCTGGACCGCTAAGCAATTTAACTGGAGCCTACACTGTGGACCTGGGATTTACCCCAGGAATCAAGAAAGTGTGAAAACAGGTGTTGCAAGGTTCCAAGTGTGAGGAGAGAATTCTCAGCAAGTAGTGGACTTTACAGCTGGTCAGAAGCACTGGCAGGAAAATCTACATATCTGAAAAACAAGTTTCACTTTCTTGATTATCTTAAGACTAGAGGCTCGGTGCATGAAATTCATACATGGGAGGGGTCCCCTCAGCCCAGCCTGCACACTCTCCAATCTGGGACCTCTAGGGGGATGTCCGCCTGCCGGTCTAGACCAGCAATCAGACATCCCTCTCCCAATCGGAAACCGCTGGCTTCTAATCACTCACCTGCCTGCCTGCCAGGTTGCCCCCAACTGTCCCCTTCCTGTCGTCCTGGTCACTCCTAACTGCCCTCCCCTGCTGGCCTGGTCTCCCCAACTACCCCCCTCTGCCAGCCTGGTCATCCTAACTGCCTACTCCTGCCTGTCTGGTCACCCCTCAAGGCACCCCTGCCACCTGGTTGTCCCATGCAGCCTGCTTTTTCAGTCATTTGGTCATTACTTAGGCTGGCCCTGGGTGGCTGGGCAGCTGCCATCTGAGACTTAACTGTGCCTTAGGCAAGCCCTGGGTGGCTGGGGGGCTGAGGGGACTGGGAACTCTGGAGACAGGTGCCTGGGGGTGGGCCCAGCCATGCCGCATGCCTGCTATCCCAGCAGGGCTCAGGGGATTGGGTGCTGCCATCTTGTGGCTGTGGGTGCCGCCATCTTGAGGTTGTGACAGCCAATTAGCATATTCCCTTCTTATTGGCTGGGGCACCACCATCTTTGTGAGGGGATGATGGTCAATTAGCACATTCCCTCTTTATTAGATAGAATATGTCAGATACTTGTTTTAACTTCACTAGCAAAATTTAATATACTTTGTACAATGAAGGGGAAAGTGAAATTGAAGCCAGTAATTTTAATACATAGTTTAATTTATTTTTTTCATTCAAAAAGGCTGGTTTCTTTTTTTTTTTTTTTTCTCCTTGGCTGACATGGCTAAGTGGTTAGAGCATCAGCCTGTGCATCAAAGGGTCCCAGGTTCGAATCTCAGTCAAGGACATGTAACAGGTTCCACAGGGTCACTGTCTCAGTCAGGGCACATGCTAGAGGCAACCAACTGATGTTTTTCTCTCCCTCCCCCCCCTAAAAATTCAATGGAAAAAATATCATCAGGTAAGGATTAACAAAACAGATGCTGACATATATAAACTAGTGTGTGTGTGTGTGTGTGTGTGTGTGTATGTGTATATGTATATACATACACACACACACACACACACACACACACACATATATATATATACATACATATTTGCTCAGATGCTGACATATATATATATATATATTTCACACACACACTAGTGTGTGTGTGAAATTGCACGTTTAATATTAACATTTTAGAAATGCAGACATGTATCAAAATAGTCCAGAAGCTAAGCACCCAGAGATAACCAATCTCACACTTTTTTATTTTAACCTTTTTATCTAAGCCATACATTTAAAAAATAAAATTAGATTTTTACTGTGTTTTTTAACTTAATACTGTATCATGAGCAAATTCCCTCTTAATAAAAGCTTAACACATAGTTTTAGAATGTGGCAGAACTATCTGAATGATGATTCAAATAGCAGACTGACAGATATGAAAACTTTGTGGAAGACACACTGTGAACCAAACTAGAGGGAAATAAGCTGAAATGCCAACAGGAGAGATGTAGGTCAGAAGAAAGCACACTTTTTTGGCTGCAATGTTTGGATTCTGAAATTTCCTGCAGTGAAGCTATTATACCCTTTCACTTTGCTGGGGTAGGCAAGGTGTACCAGCTCCCTGGAAAAGAAAAAGCTGAGTATTACTTTGCTTCTCATGCCCACGGTGAGCAGAGTATTAGACACAGACAGGTGATACTCAGTGTGCCTTCAAAGGCTTCACATGATGCCAGTTGCAACAGAATCAAACAACATCAAACATCTTGGGAAGAATCTAATGAGAAATATGCAAGATCTCTATGATGAAAATTATAAAATTTTGCTGAAAAATAAATTACAGACCTAAAATAATAAAGAGATGTAGGTATTTGTGGATTAGAAGCTTGACATCATAAAAATGTCAATACTTCAGGAATTAACAGAATCATTGCAATACCAATAAAAATTTAAGCAGGACTTTTGGAGAAGGGGAGGGTAGCAACTGTATTTCCATGTAAAGCATTTTAGAACAATTCAGTGAATAGACAGATATAAGAATAATCTAATCAGAATTCCCAGTCAACTGGTCAGTTTCTCCCAATGGTAAAGAAGACCTCTCAGAGAGCTTCCAGTCAAGTAAGATGATGTAAATGTTGTGTTTGCCTCCTCCCACAACCACATCAAAATTAAAACAAAATTCAGAACCTACATTAAGAACCACCTGAAGACTAGCTGAATAGAAGTCCAATAACTAAATATACAGAAGAAGCCACAAAGAGATTGGTAAAACGGGTGGAAACGCAAAACAGGCAGATCCCACATCCACTCCTGGCGATTAAGAATCAAGAAAGACAGACATTGGCTGCAGAGGTCCTCTCTGAGGAGCGAGTGGCCCCAGGCTCCCTACTCCCAGGCACCAGTGCTGGGAAGAGGTGTTCCCACAACATCTGTCTGTGAAAAGCAGCAGGAATTGGATCCAGGTAAGATGGAGGGTTGCTGTAGACCCAAGCATCCTCCTAAAAGAGCCAGAGCACTGACTCTCTTGTTCATAAACTCACTCACTCTGGGCTCCAGTGCAGGGACAGCATCGCAAAAAGCAACCGACATACAGGAGGAAATGAACTGACTAGCTTCAGAGCAAGGACTAGAGGCAGGTTTTGGAGCTATGGAAATAGAAATGCTGGCAGGCACCACTGCTCCTTTGAGACCTTTCCCAATCCAGCCAACAGGTATAGGTGGGCACCAAATCTGAGCTCTTCAGTAACCTGGATAAAACTGTTTGCCTCACCCTGGTGATTCCCTGGGACCTCACCCAACTCACACACCTGGTCTGAGTGGCTTCCAGCAGATTTTCCATAGGAGCAGCCTACCTTGGCTCACACTAAAGACTTTTTTAAAATCTCTCAAAGATTCACAAACCCCAAACAAGAAGCAGCTGGCCTCAGTGTGCCCTGTACATCTTCCTAAGCAGCCCCAACCATGGCATAAACTATGGCCAAGGTAGGCCTTAGAACATAACTTCAAGTAAGTGGCAGTTGAACTCAGCTCATATTGTGGTATCTACCAAAGGGTCCCAATTAAAACAATAGTGTCAGCTGACCTTGGTTCACAGCATAGCCATTCCCAAGTACCTCCAAGCCCAGTACAAGAAACAATCAACTGCAGATAACTTTGTAGCTCCCACCAGGTGGCCCTAAACTGGCCACAAATGGGGCTAATGTAGGCCTGCACTAGAGCCCCTCCCAAGAGACTCCAGAGCAATATACCTCGTGGCTACTTCAGAACACAGAAGAGCACCCCTCCACCAGCTCCACAAACACACTCAAAGGATAGATTCAGCTGGCACTAGAGCCCTTATAAAGCAACTCCTAATCTGTGGGGTCAGCTCCTATACAACAGCTTGTCCAATGTAATCATGGCTGACACTTCCCAGCCAGTCAACCTGAGGGTCAATACCACAGAAGATGTGCCAAAGGGAATCAAAGTTCAATTACAACAGGAGATCACACAAGGGATACTCCTGGAGCACCTAGCTCAGGTGCACAGGGAAATTGTGCCACTGGGCCTCACAGGACACCTACTACATACATAAGGTCACTCTGCCAAAACAGGGAGATGTAGCAGCTCTACCTAGTACATGGAAACAAACTCAGGAAGGCAGGAAAATGGGGAGACAAAGAAACATGTCCCAATGAAAGTATAGAACAAAACTCTAGAAAAGGAACTAAATGAAATGGAGATAACCAATCTACCAGACACAAAGTTCACAACACTAGTTAGTAGGAAGCTCAATGAACTTAAGGGAAGAATAGATGAATTCAGTGAGAATTTCAACAAAGCAAACAAAAACATAAAAAAGAACCAGTCTAAATGAAGAATACAACAATTAATATTAAGAATAGATTAGGATCAACCACAAATTAGAGGACTGAATCATATATTTGGAAGACAAAGTAGTGGAAAACACTTAAAACAGCAAAAGGAAGAAATAATATTTTAAAAATGAGACGAGGATCGGGAACTTTGGGACAACCTCAAGCATAACATCACAGGGGCACCAGAAAGAGAAGAGAACAAGGGATTAAAATTCTAATAGAAGAAATATGGTTTAAAACTTCCTTAACATGGTGAAGGACACAGAAATATAAGACCAGGGAAGTGTGGAAAGCCCCAAACAAAATAAACCCAAAGAGGTCCACACAATATTCATCATAATTAAAATTCCAAAGATCATAGACAAGGACAGAATCTTAATATAGCAAGAGACAAGCAGTAGTTAATACAAGAGTGTTCCCATAAGACTTTAAGGTTATTTCTCAACAGAAACTTTGTGGACCAGAAAGGATTGGCACAAAATATTCATAGTGGTGAAAATTAAGGCTTACAACCAATATTACTCTACCCAGCAAGGCTATCACTATTGTTCTTGTGCAGAGCACTCCCTTCACACTGTCAAATCTTAATTAGCTGGCCTCATCCTGACAATTCCCTGAAATTCCAACCTACCACAAAAGTCTGTGGGCACCTGATTTTGGTGTACCCTGAGACTTTTGCTAAGTGACCTCAGACCCACCAATAGCACTGAGTTTGAATCTGTATGAATCTGGTGAATACCATTCATGCCTACCTTGTATGTCACTGAAAACCTACTCATGCAACTTGCCTATGGCCAGAAGCTCTTTCAATGACTGAGCCTAG